TATTTCAATGCACATTTTAAAAGAACTCCGAAATAATAGAAATGCAATCATCTAGTTTGTAAGTCTTAGACATAATTTTTTTTTAAATTAAGGAATAAAATTTGAGATTCCATAATTCACATCTATTGAGTATAAATAAGTTGAAATTGATTTAAAATTCCCCTTTTTTTTTATCAGCTAAATCTATTTTCACAGTATTTTATGCGCAAAACATATAACTCATTAAATTTGAAAATTTATTTTAAATAAATTTTAAATAAAATTGGAATAATCAGAAATCGTAATAAATAGCACATAATCCTCAAAATTATTTTAATTTTCAAAAAAAAATTTATTTTACCTTTAAAATAGGCACGTATTGTGTAAGTTGCAATTCTATCAATATATTTTAAAGATTTTTATCCATTTGGGTTTATTCCCTTTTTTTTCATTTACTTATTTGTTTAAAAATTTTTTTTTTTTGAAACCAAGACCTTTTCACGCATAACATGCGATTTATGACGCGACGTAAATGATATGACGCAATCATCCTTGTGCATGAGCGACTTTCCATGGGAAATCCTCCTAGAATTTAGAGGAATATTCTTAAACATAGAAAACCATTCCAAATTAAAAGAACAATACTCCTGCTTCAAGAATAGAATTCAAGAGGATTCCGTAAAAGGAATTTTCCTCCAAACACAAGAATATTCCTTTCCTTTGGTGTGAAAATTAGAATTTCGGCTAGAAACTGGAAGGAGTCCTCCGCGTGAAACGAAAACAGACAACAACAAAAAAAAAATTTTTTTTTTATCATATGATCCTAGTCTTATTCATGATTAATGAAATATGGACCATTGGGATGCAGCCGTCGCGCAACTCAGACACACGTGTTTACAATGCGACATAACAATATAGGGTAAATGCACCAGTGGTAGATCAGGTACCAATGGTGGATCAACAGCGTTAAAAGGTTAAAATATGCTATTTCTAATTGAACTAAATGTTTCTATCGTTTAAGGGAGGTGTATAGATAAGTTTTATGAAATAAAATTATTCGAAAATATTTAGGAAAATAAAGCAAGACAAAAATTGTTGATTTTATGCATTTTTATATGAAATCTTAAAAATAATTGTTTGTTCTAAAAAAAAATTTTTTTTTTTTTTTTTTTTTTTTTTTCTTTTTCAGAGTAGAAGTTGCTCAATTCCTTCCATATAGAATAATTTTGGAAAAATTTACATCATTAAGTTATTTTTGTGTAGTGTAAAGGGGTAAATGATCCACGACTGGAACAATGTCATTTTATTGTTGAAAAGGGGTGTGCGGGGGTGTAATCGTTACAAGCAGGTCGAAAACTACACGATAGTTTCCTTAAAGACTCATTTATTCATACTATTGTCAAGAGTACCCTACCTTTTCAACTCGAAAGATCTGTACATCTTTAAAGTCGAAATAAGAAATTTAGTAGTCTTAATTGACCCACCACTGGTGCAGCCACCCTACAGTAATATAATTACATTCCACAATAATGTGTGTATGATGAATTTATTTTATATTTCTTTTAATAAATGTCATTTTTATATATTTTTTTTTTTTTTTTTTTTTTTTTAACGTTCCCTCCCCTTTTTTTTTTATCAAGCCAAATAACCTTTTGTTTACATAAAATTGAACGAAAATTCCACTTTAATTTCTAGTATTATTTCGTTTTTATATCCCATTTCAAGTCTTTGAAGTTTTCAAGCAGCAAAAGTAAAGCTTAAGAATCTAAACAAACTAAGGAGCCTCTCGAATCATTTCTTATTAAAGAGAGTCTCTGTGGTTATTTTGAATGGCCGAAATTGTTAGGGAGTATCATTGAATTCTTTGTATAAAAGGAAAAATAAGAGGAAAAGAATAAAGATCGAATGTTCAGAATTATGTTATTTTCGAAGAGTTCCAATTGGTTACTTGGAAAACGAAACATAAAAATCTCTTTTTTTTTTTTGATCAAGGGTTTTCAGTTGATTGAATTGGAAGAAATTATTTAAATAACTGTGAAGAGTTTTATCTTAACCGATTATAAGGTAATTGAATAATCATTACACAATCCGGCAGAAAGAAAAGAAAGAGAAAAAAAATAACGTTCCGTAGCTCTAGTCAAGATTAGTAATAAGGTAGAGGGGGAAATATCTGTGGTGCTTCGAAACCCAATACTCACGCAGGGATACACACATACAGGCAAATCCACAGAACCGGCCGACTTCATGTTACTCACATGTTTTCTATTTTAGAAGTATTATATGGGCACATCTCTAGAACCTTCAACTTTAATGTCCCTCGCATATATTTTGGTAATTTTAATAAATTTTTCGTTGGTTTTTGTTGGAAATATTAATGCTTGATACAATCAATCATTTCCAAAATATTCCACTTTAATTTATTAAATACATAAATAATTATTTCAATTTTAATACGCGATTTTTAACAATGTCTACTTGTCCTTAACCATACTTTCTGATGCTTTAAACGATATAGTTTTAGATTTAATAAAAATTACTAATTCTGAAATATGTTTTTCAATGTTAATTAATCGGTGAACACATTTTCGCAGGGAAATTAATATTTTATTAATTGTGAAAAAAATTTATAAGCTTTTAAAACTTGTCCCTCACTTTTAACCTTTTCGACCGTAATCATCGTATTTATGATTTTTCTTTTATAAGACAAGCGGCACGTTAAAATAACTTATGGGAAATCAAAGATCAAGTTACTATAATTATTTTGAGACATAATAAATTGATGTGCTTCATGTCTTCAGAAAACTATTATAAGTTAAGTAAACGAAAACACGCGTAGACAAAATTTGAAAACAACCGTAATACGAGTGATACTTGATGAAAATCATATAAAAGTATTCGAAAAGTACTTGTATATATTTTCACATGTGCCATTTAACATCCCGTGAATGTGCTTCGAGAAAAAATACTTTATTGCAAAGATAATGTAAAAATATTCATCAATTACGGTCGACCGTAATCGACCGAAATTTTTGGAAAGAAATTGTTATGTACGAAGTTGCCGATTATAATTTTTTTTATAGAAACTGTCATTAATTATTAAAACCTGAAGGTTAAGTTTTAATGTTTATTTCGAGACACAAAAATGGATCCAAAAAAATTCATTCTGAAAAAAAAGATGCGAGAGAAAAGAAAAATAGAAAAGGAAAAAGAGAAAAGAAATTGAAAAGTTTACGAATATTAAATTTAAATAGAAAAGTCTATGAAAATCGTATGGTAAATTATAAAAATTACAATTTTACATTTTTAAAAAAATTCACTATAATAAAAACCTATTTTAAAATGTAATGTAAATATTCAAATAAAAATTTTATATATCTAGTTAATTTTGGACACATGCTTTTATACCCAGTGCATTATTTCAGTATTTTATTATTCATATAAATATTGAAAATATTAAACGAATTTTATTTCTTTTTAAAATTATAACCCCTTAGAAAATTCCCTTCAACTGTTTTTTATCCTAAAAAGCAAACACCTGTTGAATATTTTTTTTTTTTTACAGGTTAAAAATAATTCTCAATTTTAAATATTTATAACTTTTTGAAGACAACTTGTTTTATCTGTCCACTTGTATAATTGGAAAGCTTAGTTCTTGAAGTTTATGTAGACAGAGTTTCAATACTGTGCTCAAAAAAAAATTTTTTTTTTTCTTATTGAAAAGTTAAAGGTTTCAAAGATATGCCCATATTAATTATTTTCATACTTCAACCATTTTGTAATATCTCTGAGAACCTATTGAAATAAAAAAAAAATTGAATAAATGTGAACCTCCTAGTCTTTTATAAAAATTGAAATCGAATTAAGTAACTTAAAAATGAAACTTACGGTGATTATTCGATTTGAATTCTTCAAATTGGAGCTTATTGTTTGTGAACAGACGAACAAATGTATGTGTCATAGAATAGAGTGCAATCAGAATTAAAGAAAATATTCCAATAATTATCTCTCTATGTTTAAACGTGAACCATTTTCAACTTAGCCCTTTTTCAGTAGCACAACTACAGGATAAAATATAATGAGTTGAAAACATGTGTGATTATATAAAAACATTATTATAATTCTTGTATGCAAACGTCAAATTATATTTTCGACTTATAACGTCTAAAATTAAAAATAATAAAAATTTATCGAAATTTAATTAGTTAATCGTGAAAATGAATTGATGTCAATAATGTCAGTTTGTTGGTTAAAATAGTTAATATCAATATAGTAAGTAAACAATTTAATTTACAGAAATAAAATTAAATGCTAAAACTTAATTAAAATATTTTAACATTATTGTATTAATCAAAAACACGTAAATATTAATTATCAAAAAAAAAAAATAAATTATTTATATTTTATCATATTTTATTATTCAAAATGTTTTGCACCTATTTCAAACAATATATGTAAAAAGAAACAGAGAAATGCCATTTTTAATTATAATTTCCAGAAGAAAATAATGTTTTCGTTTTGGCTTTCAACTCAAACGGCATTAAAATAGAATGAATCACGCAAGAAGACAATTGTTCTTGAATATATTTTAAAGAAAATAAACCATAAAAAAAAAAGGTGTGCTTGCTATTTGGAAAATTTTTCATCTTGATAAGTAAAAATCGGCCGGTTCCGTGGATCCGCCTATATATATATATATTTTTTTTTTTAACAGTTGCACAACTACATTCCGATTTTATAATCATCCCAACAATATAAAGAGAACATATTTTAGTAATAACGTGGGTAGTGACTCTTCCAGTCCGCATGGCATTGTGGGCTTGAATAAGATGAGAAGGGAAGGGGAAGGGAAAATAAAAGCATCGCAATATAATAGTACCCGACTAAAACCTCAACTCTATAGTGAACCTGATGAATTCTCATATTTGAATATTCTAGTTATTTAAAATTAATCCGTATATATATATGTATTTATTTATTTTTTTTTTTAAACACCTGTATTGAATATTTTATTACAATTATTATAAAATGGAATTACCAAACAATTGATTTTAAAATATCCATGTTTATAATAAGATTCTATTGTATACTCTATTTTCTCGTCCATAGTTTGAAAATTTACTTTGGCGAATGGGAGCCTGCTCGAGAGCGAATTAGAGAAGACGATTTTTGGCCATATGACGCGACCCTGGCAATTGGCCAGCCCAAAATATACGCCGCTCAATCCTGGTATCAGGAATACCATTGGTGTGAAGAATCACAAAAATATTTTGTACGCGGGTTCTGGGCACCGGTAAGGCTACAAAAAAAATTTGTCTTAACAACAGTACTCAAAATAAAATAAATAAGTAACCTTTTCTTTCTTTGTTTGTTCAGCAAGGTTTCCGCAGTGCGATTTGGGTGCATGATAGCTTGCCACGCTTAAAGATTGTCTTCGGTGGGCTAGGCCAGGGAAAAGCACCTCAAACGTGGTGAGTCATATAACTAATTCCATTAGTTCCAACCTCTCAATAATTTCAAGATTAACTTTATAGAAATGTCAGCAATAAGAAAGAACTTATTATATGTACCTGTTATCCCCTTCTTTTTTTTTTAGTTTCTTCAAGGACCTGCCGCTCATTCCCCAGGAGGTGGGATGCCAACCGGCTCTTAGCGCGATGAAATTATCATTCCTCCAATGCCATGACTGGCAGGGGACATCCCCTAGAACTAGGGGATGGTGGAAACTGGTAAGCGTGATTTTTATGATTGCTTACATTAGTGTTTGGCATATTCCATCAACATGCTAGTGCACCAGTCTCAGTCACATTCGGTCCCCTTAATATTCCTAAACCTCCCGAAATAATTTTATCAAAAATAAAAAAAAATTCTTTTCTTTATCGTGGTCAAATTAAGGTCACATGTTGGATATTACAACAAAATTAAAATTGGAGCGTTAATAATAAAGAAAAATACACATACATGTATAATTTTATTCATTATAGATATTATATATCTATCCATACATATATATATACATCTCTCTTTCTTTTTTTTCTAGAGACTGAATGTGGACCATAAATTTATGTTCGTTCCCATGGCTCGAGAACACAAGGAGCACGAGGGCAATGGAGAGGTGGAAGTGCTTCCACCAATAGAACTGGGTATAAATGAGGACAACCCTGAAAATTAGACAGCAGCCGGCTGCAGTCCTTATTATTACTCTTTTTTTTTACATATATGTAAGAACATATACATATACTTATATTAAGGTATTTCTCGCAATAGCATAGACTTGGCAACACTGTAAGCTGTAAAGTTTTAACCTCAAACCTCGTTGATTAACAGAAGTAAAATGAATAATTTTCGTAACTCGAGGGGCCAATTTACCAACAAACAAAAAAAAAAGATCGTATTTTTTTTTAAAAAAAATTTTTTAGAAAGTATATATATATAAAAAAAAGAAAACGGAACGCCGGAAACTGAAAGAAAACAGTTTCTCTTTATGTTTTTTTTTTTTTTATAACGTCGTTGAATAAAGTATCTTCAAAATAAGATGATTTTGAACAAATTATATATTACATATAATATTTTATTTTTATTATTGTATATTTTCAATTTAACTTAACAGAATCCACTATTTTTTTTTTTTTTTTTTTTTCAACGAGTAAGTGATTAAAAGTAAAATTTCTAATATCCAAACTTTTCCCGCTCATTTTACCAAACTCCCCTGCCCACAGCGCCGCCAAGCCTACGTTTCTTCCACACTAGCGATGTGTGCGCAAAAATGAAAATATTACATTACTTTTATTTACTGCATAAAAAAAAAACTGTACTGTAAAAATAGGTTGGGTGCGCGAAGAAGTATCCTATATCTCCTATGTAAAATTATACAATTCCAAATGTTTATAACTTTAAAACTAGACGGTAATTCGAGTTGAAAAATTTTTTTTTACAATCGATAAATTCTATATTTATCAACTTATGTTTAGAGTTTTATTAAAATATTAACTAAATTAATTTTCGAGAGAAATACCAAAAAAAAAAGATTTTTTTTTTTTTTAAAAAAAAAAATAAATAAACTTTAATTTTCATATTATCTTGTTTAAATTTATTCGAGTTGCTATAATGAAACCTAACTTGCGCATGCATTCGATCGGCACCATTTGTCATAAGTGTTTCGGGAGCACAGGTAAGCCCATGGCACAGAGAGAGAAACTAAACTTAATAAAATAATAATAAAAAGATAAAAAAAAAACAATTACATGCATAATTAACTTGAAGCTACTTATATCGGTTGGAGGTACTGGATCGGCAGTTGCACCGCCCTTCTTGTGACGATCCTTGATGGGGTTCTTCCTGATGATGATAGGATAGTCGTTGGCGTTGTTGATGTTCGCATTGTTTCATCATATCCGATTCGATAAAAAGCGTTTGCCTCCTCATTGATGATTGACATAGTGTAACTGCACTCGTTTGGGATAAATGTATTAATTATGGGTTTGGGCTTCACTTCAGAACTTGGGGAATCCAGGGCGACGCTGAGTCATCTGGTCTTCGGTGGCATGTGTTTTTCAATTGTGACAGACTTTATTCCGCCTTCTAATGTAGTGGCGGAGGTGGAGGGCTCTGACGTTACCGTTGGACTATCCAGTCTGGCCTCTTTCAATGAACATTCCTGCATCTGGGGAGCGTCAATTTCTTCATATGGTTGTACATCTTCATCCGTTCTTTTTGAATATTTTGCATTGGAATTTTCAGAGTTAAATTTTATTTTCCGTACCTATTTTGAATATTTTAACATACCGGATCTTAAATATTGACGACATAAGAGAAATAAGATTATTATACCCAATACAATGAGCCAACCATAGGATCCATAAATAAGCTTAAATTGATTATTATGAACGTGCCTCCGTAATGCGAATTCTTGCAATTCCTGCTCGAGTTCATCCAGAGTCCTAGAATTGGTTTCGAAGGTGGAATACCTTGTCGTTGGTTCAGGAATCTTGAGCGAGCTAGTACCGACAATTGGTAAAAACTGAGCATAGTTTGATACGGTAGGGGATAGCATTGAAATGTTCAGATGAACTTCTGGTTCGTAAATTATTTCGGATTGGCCTGATTGTGACGTAGTGGCTGGTATTATTGTATCCTTCGTCCTGATTGAACATCCAGGGGATAATTTCAAAATTCCAACTCCTTCAAGATGGATTTTCACAGGGTTTTTAGTATGGCAAATTATCGTGAGCAATTCGGGTACTGCCATGGAGTACATCCAACTTGCCAAGGTTGGTAATGGTTTCCAGTAGGATTCTAGGCTGGTTGTCAGTCGAATATTACAAGATTTCAAAACATCGATGGTTGGGTTAGTCAGTAATAAAGGCTCGCAGGCAGGCCTTTCCTTGAGGTCGTATATTGGTGTTCCTTTTAGACACACATGGAAGGTGGTCGTTGCTTTACAGGATTTCCAGTCACGTTCTTCTAGGAGGAGATAACTTCGCTGCTCTTCATCGATTACAAGGTAATTATAATCCGAATGTATATATGCTCTTCCGGTTCCGTTTCCGAGCGCGCTCTGAACGATTGGGAGGGGGTGCATTCTATAAGTCTGATAATTATACTTTTCTAGGAGTGGGACATCTACGAGCACCTTCAACTGATGATTTTCGCACGAGATGGTTATGGTGGAGACTTTTGTTAGTTCGTCGACACTGACTTTTGGTCCCCGCACTGGAAAAGTGACGTCCTTTAATGAATCTTGAATCTCTCGCAGGACTGGCTCTAATTGTTGAGATTTGATGAGACCTGGATGAAGCTGGCCAAGTCTTGCATGATGTACAGCTTCTAGCATGGTGGATGTTGCTAAAACATTGTGATCTAAACCAAGTTTCAACGCGTTCATTACATTGTCCATAAGTTGCCGCTCCTTCATAACGTTTTCTATGGTGGCCCCTCCCGATACTGTGTCCAGAAAAGATTGCAGGTCCTGATGGACCTTTTCTAGCAATATACCATGCTGCAGGACCTGCGAATGCAATGTGTCTAGTTGCGATCTCATTACATGAGTTTGCTTGCCGACTAGATGAGAGAGGTTTGCTTGAGCTTCATTGAGGTTTTGGATGGCAGCGTCATAGTGTTCCCCATCGTCATAGGTTAGCACACCGGCAATGGGGCCGGCGATTTTTCCCAAGAAGCCTAGTAATGGAACACTCCTTCGTATCCGGAGCTGTGATGACAGTTTTCCAGGTAATGGTCTTTTAGTATTTTCTAATTCGTTGATTTGGTCTCGGAATTGCGATTGCAATTCCGAAGCCATTTCCCACTTGTCCTCCCATTGGTAATTCCTTATTAAAGTTTTACACCACTCTCTCACAGATTCGCATTGCTGCATCAGCTTATCCAGCCTAAGTTGCAGGTCATCGAAGTGTCTACGTTGTCGTCCAAAGTCAAGAAAAACTGTTATTCTCCAATTGCTGACGGATCGCTTCATCTCGCCGACGTACTCGTAATATGCTCCACTGCTGGAACTGAATGGGGTGACCTGGTAGCGGTCGTCACTAGGGGACTCGTTGAATTGGTCGGATCCTCGTTGTATTGGTAGTGCTATGGAGGTCAGGAGTAAACATAGCAAAGTTAGAGTCGTCATGATTCCAATCATCGTCGTTTCCATCCAATCCCTAAAAATTTAATTATTAATTTTTTTTGTCTTATTTCCAAAGAGGGAGGGAACCTTTACTACAAGTGGGCAACCATGACCTTGTCCCTATGCTTGGAAAATCTCTCTCCTAATTCATTTTCAAGGATTACGTTATTGTTCTGTGTGAATCCTACGATGGTGAACGGACCATCGGCCCGATTGTCAAATTTATTACTTCTAACTTCCTTGTAAACGTAAACCTGGTCACCTATCTTCGCGTCTAGAGGGCGTGTTTTTGTGTCGTAATTGGTTTTTGATCTCTCCTTCGCTTTGATCAGATATTTGGCTGCCATATTCTGTAGCTCGTTCATTCGAGTTATAAGATCTATTAAGTAGGACCCGTAAGTTTCAAGTTCGGGACCTTGCGGTAAGGAGCTCGGAATTCGCGCCAAGTGACCGAACACAAGTTCGAACGGAGTAAAGTTTGTGGCTTCATGAACCGACGTGTTATAGTTAATCATGGCAAATGGGAGAAGACGATCCCAGTCGTCGAAATCCCTTGCATAATGCTTAATATAATCCGTCAGCTCGATGTGGCTTCTTTCCAATGATCCGTTTGTTTGTGGTCGATAGCCTGATGTTGTAAGCTGCTTGACGCCAAAAAGTTTCTCTAACCTTCGCATCAGGGAACTTATAAAACTCGGACCTCTATCGGTGAGCACGCATCTGGGTGCTCCATATACGCAAAATAGGTTTGTTGCTACTGCGTGAGCAATGGTTTTTGTTTCGATATTTGGAATAGGGACGGCGATGCAGTATTTACTAAAATTATCTTGCATCGTAAGAATATGCCGGTTACCATTCGGGGTAGTTCGCAATTTTCCTACCGTATCTAGTGATACCTTGTCAAAAGGTAGGGCTGGCGTGTCGGTGATCAACATGGGTTCTCTAGTACGTGCCCTGACGAGTTTATTTTCAAAACAACTTTTGCAACCTCTTATAAACTGTGTGACCTCGTCGCGCATTCTGGGCCAGTTGTACCGTTCACGAATCCTGCGATATGTCTTTGTAATACCTTTGTGACCTCCTATCAAACTAGAATGGAATTCGGTAATTATTTTATGGCGTAGCTCGGTTGGGGGTACCTCTATTTTCCCGTGGCAGAGAGTAATGGTTATATCACCACCGCGGAAAATTTCTGATACAAGTTCCGACATTTTGGGTTGAGGAAGGGCACCTAATAGGTCGCCGGAATTGGCTATCCGACAAGATCTCTCATTGTCGGTCTCGAGGGCAGTTCGTAAATTTTTTAACCCCACGACTACATCCTTCCAGCAAATTTCATCAAAATGACGTCTTTTACTACCATGGAATATACCTTGTATTTGCCGCACGGGGTAATATAAACTTGTCCTTTTAAGGGTTTGTTGTCCCGAATGTCCTGAAAATCAATTTTTTCGGTGGCGATTAAAAGTTTGGAGATTGAGTCTATCGGTTCGCAATCCTCGGAAATGAAATGCGCCACGTTATCTCGCTCATATGTCAGGGGTTGG